TCTAATTTTTTATGTAGTTAAGCATTTGGCGGAAAACTGTGTATTGTTTAAATTCATTTGTTAAATATCTACTGTAATATGAGTTTAAATCCAAAAAACTATCTCAAATTGTTAAATTACGCCTTTTGACCATCTAATGTACGACATACAGTCTATTGTGAATGATTCAGAAACATCTTTTGCACAATCTTTCATAAATATAATAAAAGAAGCAATTAATAATGAAGTTTTCATCGTCACTTATGATACTTTATGCCTTAATCAAGATAGTGTACTTACTGATGAAGCTGTTATAGTAGAAGAGGATGATATAACCGATAAATTTGATTAGAATATGTTTAAAGAAAACATTGCAGATAAGGATATAGATATAGATTATTAAATAAATGCGGTCGAGTTTTGACGTTCGTTAAAAAATAAACGGAAGAGTTTAGTTACTGTGTAGTATTAGTATAAAAAAATTAATAGCTTCAGACAGTTGTATAGGTGGGAAAATTAAGTAAAAAATCAAGGAACTAGAAAAGAAAAGTTGCAATATATTTGCAACTAGGTTCTACAACAATGTCGAAATACAACAGATAAATATTTACCTATCCATGATATTGACCTAAAAAGGTCGTCACTCATTGCTAGAGAAAAGATGAGGTTGTCAACTAAACTATTTACAGGTTCACCAAAATGGATCCATAAATTTAATATAAAAAATAGAATAGTTTCAAGAAAAATGAACAAATTATGGGTAGGGATGCTGTTTAGGGGAACTTGAATAGTTATATGGTAGGTGGTTCAGCTGTCTACTTCTATTCAATTCTATTATTTTATGGAAAACGGGCGATTAAACTCGCTGTTTCAAAGCTTTCGTCTATTAGATGTAGTTTCCATCACTTACAATGCGTTTGAACCGATATAAAAAAATACGTGTCTAATATTTTTGAATATTTTATCCGTGTGCCAAATTTCATACAATCTGGTGAGTGACGCTTGAGTAGTGTTACTTATCAGAAGAATCGATGCACCGCTTGAGCAGATGGAGGCTCGAATGAAGATACAAAAGAACATTAGTATGGACATAACGACGAACATCAACATAATAAAGGAAGCAGTGGAAATTACATGGTATGAAGAAGACCGCCTAAGCCTCTTCCTCGAAAATACCATAAACGAGACAATCGAAGAACTGATGAATTGGTGAACTGAATTTAGTGAGTGACACTTGGATAGTGTTATTTGTGAGCTACGCCCGGAAGCACTGGAAGCCGTCGATCGTCTGTCTGTTATCTATCTTCGTGCGGTCTAAGTTGATCGTCGACGTTCTTATTGTGTTGTACTGGGTTACAATTGAGCCTTCTGTGAGTCCTCAATGTTCTGCGCAGGTGGCTCTGAGAAGCCTTCATTACTTGGTGTATTCTTCATTTTTCTCTATTTATGTGTAAATAAAATGTCGTGTTGTGATCAAAAGTAACTCCTCGAAGTCTACAGGACCAGCGGTTAGTTCCCAACCTCTCCAGTACCACAGCGCCTCGATAGTCCGGTGGCCTCGACCGTTCCTAGCCCCCCTTCTAGCAGTAGAAATCCATAATCGACACTACTATGAGTGGCGGGATTTCGAGTTTTCACTCTACCAATGTACGGAGCGGCCTCTCGTGTCGGGTACATCGGGCTCGGTTTCCATCTTATCGGCAGCCCGATAAGTGATGAGTGGTTGTACATGTTAGCAAGGTACCGCTTTTTTTACGTCATATCCGAACCATTGCTTCCTTCTAGCCGTGTCTACTGTAGCGTTGCTGCTAAGAGTATTGACGCGGCAGACAACGTTTCCATAGAACATGGGCGTAGACGTTGAAAGTTAGCGTTTGTTCAGTAAGGAGTTATCATCCACTGGACCAGCCCTGCATTATTATCGTTATGATTATTATTATTTTTTATTTAGCGATTAAAAAACAGGCAAATCTTCATAGACCTGGTATGATTGAGCACCCCAATGGGTGGGCCCCCGTCGCGCTCTCTCGTGTGCCGGACTTATCGGCTGACTCAGACTGAACCATTATAAATAATTGCGAATCATCAGAGTCAACCTCTTACCGCCTAAACCTGTTTTCTCCTGGCCCGGCAATTGATTGTCAAGACAGGGGAAAGTAATATTTACCATCCTACGTTCTCCAGCGGAGAACTGCTTTAGCATTACTGCCCGCTAAAAGAACCGCGTCGTGTTCTCTCTTGTTCGTCAGGTCCTGTATCGTTACGTTCGTCTATTGACATTTATCCGCTCTTTCTTACGATTTACTCTCATATACTCTCGTCTTCCACTCGACTTCCAGGCATCCATTCGCCTTCTTCCATCGTAAGATAGCTTTGACGTAAATCGCGGTTATCGTCCAGCTGTCTTTGTCATGCAGCATTTTTGCCACGATGTTATTAGGCGTGATATTTCCAAGTTTCGTTTCTAGGCTTTATCTTTACTCGTTTCAGTGGTTGCACGCAAAAAATTTATACTTTGCATCTTCTCTTTTATGGTCACAGTATTTACAGTCAGGCCTGTTTCCTTTCCCTCTGTCGAATAAAGATTTCCTGTAGTATACGTGGTCGGTAAGAAACTGGGTTAGGAAAAAGTTCATTTCCCCAAATCTGTTTTCCATCCACAGCCTCAGATCGTTAATGAGACGTCGTGTCCATGTGTCGGTCGTACTTGTCCTCCATCGTTCTATCCAGTCTGTCATTGTCGTAGTTCTTTCATTTTTCTCAGCTTTTGTTCTAGTCACGTCCCTGTATTATTCGTATAAACGTTTTCGTTTTCTGGTAAGCAGGTCTATCGGAATAACGCCCGCACCATCACCTGAACAGCCTCGGCTGAGACCGTTTTGTAGGTGCAAGCAATCCTCAATGTCTTTGTACGTTCAGTCGCTTGCTGTATTTCTTAACCCCCAACGCGATGGCCTACACCTCGGCCCCGTATAGCATGATTGAGAGGGTCGTAGACATCAGTAGTCGTCTCTTTTATTGTCTCGGTCCAAATATGTTTGGGATAAGACGACTGAGAGCGGAAATCATCTCAACCACCTTTTTTACGGTCTTTTGCATATGCCGCCAGGTCAGCTTCGTATCTAAGATCACTCTAGGGCCCCTATTTTCTTGATCACAATCTTGTCACTTCTTCGCATAGTTTCTAGTGCATCAGTTTTTACTGTCTTTAATTTTCGCGGCCAATTTCTTACATGCCTTCTTGTACGTGGTCGCTACTCTGTCCGCATCTAGTTTTTTTTCTTTCGCGCGCTTCATCCTCCCGCGGCAGGCAACGCATTTCACACGGAGGAGGCTGATCTCGTCTGTCCACCAGCATTTCTCTTTTGTCTGTTTTATCCTTGCGCCTGGACATCGTGGTGTTGGACAGTTGCATTATCAATTCCATTGTCTTGAACGTTATCCATTCTGCTCGTTCTCACGTACCAAGCTCTGCTAGAACGGGTTAAAAAATAAATCTTATTATCTCTACTTTTCACCCTATTTACATTTTACATTTACATATTTTTCCATTCACATTTTACATTTTACATTAACATAATTTTTAAACCACCAATCAGCTTGCTACAACGTGATCTCTGATTCAAAGTACATTTAAAAAGTTAACTGATACAGTTTTGAGGAATTTTCGACTTGAAACAGTGGAATCGTTTTTTAAATATGATCACATATTTGTTATGCGATTTCTCCCGTTGCCGAAGAACACGACAAATTCTTTTACAAATCGGGGCCCGGAAGGCCAAGCTGCTTCACGGGGGAAGCGAAAGGCAAACGTTTCGACGCGCACGGGAAGGAACAAGCAGGAATGGTCAACACAATTATTACTCACAAATTTCATTCAATACATATATTTTCTCTTAACAATTTAACAACTCTCCTCATTGCATATCTCGACGTGACAACAATCGCGAACTTGCACCACCGCAGCCGCGAGTTCCTGCGGAAGATCGCATGGAACTCGGCTGACGCGACGGTTATGAATTATCTTACTCTAATCTCTCCACAGGCTCTCGAGCGAAATAACCGCTGAGCTCCCTATTCTACGCGGGTTGCCGGCAACGCGACTTTGTGAGAGAGAGAAAACTCGACCAACCTGGAGGAAGACTGCTCTCGATGTCACCGGGTTGTGCAGATGCTGACGGCTCGTTTAGGGACCTTCTCAACTCCTCTCTCGAAATCACCGGCCTCGTGGCAGAGACCCACAATCCGCTGCAAAAAATCTCGATTATTTTTTATGTTATAAACACTACAAGTAAATTTTGTTTTCCAAAAACCAGTAAAATCATCATAAAGTAGCACTTTTGCTCTTGGAATAAAATTTTTGGATTAGAGATTTTTTTTTTCATCAACATATAATTGATTGATGTTGAATATTTCATCTATTTCGCAACAACATTAAAATCATAGGTTACAGGGGTCGGGGATTGGATTAAGGTCGTTAGGGTTTAAGGGCTCTGGGTTATAGTCTCGCAATTTACAGGAGTTGAATGGTGAGGCGATCGAGATTTAAGGATTTGGAGTATACTAGATACATGTATTTATCAATTGTGTTATTTTAATGTTGTTGAAAAATTGCTAAAGTACTTAATTTTAATCAATCATATCTTGATGAAAAAAAGAAGATAATTGTAATCCAAAAGAGAGTATTAAATAGACAACTGAATTGAATAGACGTACTGCATTGTCATGATTCTAATTGTTTTTGAAAAAAAATATATATCCACGGTGTTATATAACTTCAAATATAGCACAATATTGTAATTTTCGTAAGTTTAAGTTAGGATACCTCAAAAATCTTAGTTGATGGATAAATTCTGAAGCCTGATTCAAATTCAGCGCTTCAAGAAACCTACAAAATATAGTATTATGTTTCTGCATTTTTTCAATTTTGAATTTTTTCGACTGATGTGATCAATTGAAATTAGAACATATTATAAATGTATTCATAATTCAATTAATAATTCAATGAATATTACTTCAAGTTGGAGGGATTTATACCGTTATAAGATCCAAAGCATATATATCTACAGAAGAAATGGGAGATCAATACTGTTTAGTAGGACCCTATAAAGAAGCTTCAGCAAAAACTGAAGTAGAAGAAACGGATTTTCCAAAAAGTAGTCCTTTAAATGAAGCAGTTCAAGCTTTGCGTGATCAAGGGTTTAAGGTAAGACATTAATGATTTATTTAATGATTATTTGAATCTATACCTTTATAAAATTGTTTATCTGAATATGAATATACAACGAAATTAATAAAAAGATTTTTGTGATCGTCTAAATGGATAGCAATCGATTTAAAGAAATAAGTCATATAGTTCCAAAGATTAATGGGTTTCGACTCGTGGAAGGGAGTAGACGTGTCTTGACTCTGAGTGTGAGTTTTGGTGAGAAAGTTTGAGAGGAAAAGTGTTTGAGGAGAGAGATAGAGGTGAAAAGAGCTTGGAGGCGGAAGAGAAATGGAGCAGAGAGAGAGAGAGAGAGAGAGAGAGAGAGAGAGAGAGAGAGAGGCTTGGAGAAGAGCAGGAAATAGCAGAGAGAGAGGAATAAAGAAAAAAAAAGTTGAGGTTAAGACAGTAAATTAAGAAGCGGGAAAGGCAAGCAGAGAGGAGGGGCGGTAAGAAGTAAAGGCGGAAACAGAAAAGGTAAGACAGGGAAAAACGGTGGGATCACGAGCAGAATTAGAAAGTCGAATTAAGGCGTACGGGATAGAGATGGAAAGATTTATGACAACAGAAAAATTAAGAGATAAAGGTGGAAGGATGGATAAGAAAGGCCAAGAGGAGGAAAAGAAGAATAGAGTAAACGTGGTGAGAGGAAGAGAGAGCGGAGATGGGCTGAGGGAGAATATTAGAGGAGAATTTAGAGAGGCAAAAAGATGCAAGAGTGATAGGGAGAGGAGAGGGATGGAAGAGGAGGGGGGACGATTGGACAACACGATAAGAGAAGTGTGAAAAAGTAGTGTAGCAGAAGATATAATGGAAAAGATACGGGCGGATATAACGAATTTAAGAGAGGTATGGGAGGAAGAAAGGAGAGAATGGACTGAAATGTTTAAAGAAATGATGGAAAAAATGGAAAGAATGGTGGCAGAGGGGAAGAGAAGAAAAGAAAGATAGGAGAAAGAAATTGGAAAAGTTAGGAGGGAACAAGAGAGAGAGAGAGAGAAGAAAGAAACAAAGAGATGAAGGAAGAAAGGGAAAAAGCAGACCTTAGAGAAAAGAAACTGCAGGAAAAATGGGGAGAGAGGATGAACTAGTTGAAAGAAGAGTGCGTGAAACTAAAAGAAAGTATAAAAGGAGGAAACGAGAAGCAATGAGGAACAGAAGAAGGCAATAAGGAAGAAATAGAGTATATAATAGAAAAAATAGATAGAGAAAGTAGGATAAACAATGTAATAGTGACAGACTTAGAGGGTGGGTTAACATGGGAAAAGAAGGGTAAGGCAGAGGACTGGTTAAGAGAACTAGAAATGAAAGGGGCGATAGTGAATCTGAGAAGAATAGGAGGGACAGCGGAGAGAGATGATCAGAGAGAAAGAGGAAAAAATATGTGGCAAATCAGATGCGCTTCATAAGAACAAAAAGAAGGAATTATGAAGAGGGAAAAGAAGCTCGGGCAAATAAAGATCTTTATAGATCAGGACTGGACGTGGAAGCAGAGGAAGATTAGAGAGGAAGAAAAAAGGAAAGCGAGGGAAATAAAAAGTAAAGGTAAAGAGGTAAAGATGTGACATAACGGGTTGAAGTTAAAGGAAGAAGAATGGTGATGGAGTGAGAAAGAGAGAAAAATGGTAGAAAAAACGGCGGAAGGGTTTCGAAAACAATAGGGAAAAAAAGAGAGAGACGAGAGAAGGGAGAGAGAGGGAAGAGAAGCAGTAAAGATATTATTTTGGAACGTGGCGGGGATTAGGAGCATGAAGAAAGACGACTGGAAATATGTTAGGGAATTTGATATAATAGGGCTAACCGAAACCTGGGTGAAGAGACGAGGGGCAAAAACTAGGGTGGAGAAGCAACTGAAAGGGTATAACATAGAGTGGAGAGACTCAAGAAGGGAAGGAAGAAGGGGGAGAGAAATAGAGGGAGGAATAATGACGATAGGAGAGAGGAAAGGGATGAGTAAGTTTGAATGGAAGAAAGAAAGGACAAGTGAGGTAATAGCAGGAGAAATAGAGATCGAAGGGAGGAAATACATGATAGCAACAGTGTATATGCAACACGAGAAAAAGGAAAACTATAAATACCTAAGCGGAGATATAGAGGGGAACAAAGGAAAAATAATAATTATAGGAGGAGACTTCAACGCAAGAACAGGAAACGAAGGGAGAGAATGGGAGACAGAAGAAAACCTAGAAGAAATAAAGGCCAAGGATAAAGTGTTAAACGCAGAGGGAGAAGAAATATTACAATGGCTAGGAAAAATGGGTTTAGTGATAACGAATGGGAGAAAAGAAGGAGATGAAGAGGGAAAAATAACATATATAGGAGCGAGAGGAATTTGAACGATAGATTATATAGTAGGTAACGAGGAAGGTGATAAGGGAATAAAAAGGGTTTAAATAAAAGAGAAAGTAAAGTCGGACCACTTACCTGAAGAAGTGGAATTGGGAGACAAAATAGCAGAAGAAACAAAAGAAGAGGAAGAAAGATTGATAGACAACTGGAGCGAAGAAGGTATAAGAGAGTATCAGAGATGGATAGACGCAATAGAGGGAACAGAAAAATGGAAAGAGATAAAAAATAGAATGAGGAACGCAGTCGTAAGATAGAAGATAAGGAAAAAAAAGAATCGAAAGAAAGCTGGCGGAGAGAAGAATGTAGGATAAAAAGGGCTAGTGTTATGGCAGAGTTAAATAAGGTAAGAAAAGGGGAAGGAAACAGAGGCAAATAGATAGAAGCAAAGAGGGAATACTGAGAGGAAATAAGAAAAGCGAAAGAAGCTGAGGGGAGAAGAGTAGTAGAAGAAATAAGAAAAGATAAGGTGAGAAGAAAATTCTTGGATAAAGTAAATAGCAATAGGAAGAAAAGAATTGGATTAGATTAAAATATAGGAAAAGAAGATTGGCTAAAGCACTTCAAGGGACAACTGTGAGAGAAAGTAAAGGAGGAAAGCAAAGGGGAAGAAACCGAAAACAGCGAAGGAGTGGAAGGTGAAGAGATCAAAGTAAAAGAAGTAAAAGAGGTAATAAGAAAAATGAAAAAGAAAAAGGCGACAGGAGAAGATGGTATAGCGAATGAAGCGTGGATGGAAGGCACGGAAGGCTTGTTAAAAGATATGACAAAATGTTTAAACGGAATTTGGAACGGAGATAGATATCCCGAAGAATGGTGGAAGGGAATAATAGTACCAATATATAAGAAAGGGAGGAAAGAAGAACTAGAAAACTATAGAGGAATAACGCTGATGGGGACGGGATATAAAATATATGCGGTAGTACTGAGGAAAAAGCTGAAAAGAGAACTAGAAGCTATAGAAACGCTAAGCAATACGCAGATGGGCTTCAGGAAGAAAAGAGGAACAATGGACGCAATATATGTATTAAAAACAATAATAGGGAAGAACATAAGGGAAAAAGGAGGAAAACAGTTTGGAATCTTTGCCGAAATGAAGGCCGCTTTGGATAAGATAAAGAGGAAGAAAATATGTGAAACAATGAAAGAGAAAGAAGATAAATAGAAAAATTAGGAAAAGAACAGAAGAAATATATAAGAAAACGGGGAGTAAGGTAAAAGTTGGAGGAGAAATAATTGGGGAGTTCGAGACTTACAAAAGCGTAAAGCAAGGGTGCCCTTTGAGCACCACGCTATTTAATTTTGCCTTCGCCGACCTAGAAGTCAAGATCAAACAGGTGTAAGAAAGAGGGGTAGTGATAGGAAGGAAGAAAATATGAACATTAGGATATGCAGATGATATAGTGATGATGGCCAAGAGTGAAAGTGGAATGAAAGCAATGCTGATAAAATTAAAAAGGTTCCTGGAACAAAGGGGATTAGAGCTAAATATAGGAAAATCAAAGATGATGAAATGCAGGAGTGGAGGAGGAAAGAGAAAGGAAGAAGAATTTGAATGGGAAGGTGAGAAGATAGAAATGGTAAAGAGTACAATTACTTGTGATATGTGATAAGCAGAAATAACAGAAATAAAAAGCAGATAAAGAAAGTAGAAGGGAAAATAAATATGGGACTCGTAAGACTTTGGGGGCTAGGAGAAAAACTATTTAGAGAAAATTGGGAGCTAAGGATGAACCTGTTCGATGCACTGGCGAAAAGCGTGATTATGTATGGAGCAGAAATCTGGGAATGAAAGAGATATGAAGAAAAAGAGAGTTTACACCTAAAATACATAAAGTGGGTATTGGGATTAGATAGAAACATGCCAAGTTATTTAATACGATGGGAAACAGGGAGACGAGAAATGAAAGAAACAGCATTAGAAAGAGCAATGAGATATAAAAACAAAATAAGAGAAGAAAGAGATGGCTCAATAAAAAAAAAAGCATGGAGAGAACTAAAGAAAAGGGAAAGAAATGTAAAAGATAAAAAGGGTAAGAAGGAGGAGAGAGGGGAAAGGCTAGAAAACATTAAAATATATAGAGAGAGGGAGGAGGGAGACGAAATGAGAGAATAGTTTTGGGAAGAAGTAAAGAAGAGCTAAAGAAAAAGAAGAAAAAGAACTAGAAGAAAAGCTAGAAAAGTCAAGATACATAAACGAGTGGAAAGAACTGAAAGAAGAAATGAAAAAGTACAGATTAAAGGAAATTTAAGGAGAGGGAAGAATAAAAGGCCTACAAATAAGGGAAAGGTTTAGGTTAGGTAATGAAACGAGAGGAAGCAGATATTGAGAAAAAGAAGAAAATAAGAGATGCAGAATGTGTATGAAAGAGGAAGAAGATTGGAAGCACATAGTAGAAAAATGTGAAAAAAGCAAAACGGATGGGGAAGAATGGGTAAAAATAATAATAGGAAGCAAAGAAAAGATAGCGTGGATGATGGAGCTAAAACGGAAAAGAAGAAGAAACGAAGAAGAGAAAGAAAAAGAAAAACAAGAAGACGAAATTACAAGAGCCTAAGGACAGAAGGAAACAGAAGACAGAGAAGCAAGACTCGCAGACACATCTACATCCGTACACATATACACAAAACACACATACACACACACAAAACAC